CCCCAAAACCCCAAAACCCCAAAACCCCAAAACCCCTTGGCTTATGGCCAAATTGATGAATAAGGTGAGGTATAATAATGTAGCTTAGAGGGAAATCATAGAGGCAGAGTTTTCTATAGGTTAGGAGATAGAGTTACTGAGGTGAGCGCTGCTTGTGGAGGTGTAAGGGCAGAAGTGAGTGTGGAAGATTGAGTGGGAGGATTGTTTTAGTTTTAGATTGGTCTTGTTTATGAGGGAGGGGTGTTGAGGGGGGTTAAGAGAGTCAGGTGTGTTTGATGTTATGTTGTGATTATTTATAGCATTATGTTAAGGCCAGGAGGATTCTGACTGAATATACTCCCTTTTTGTTGCCTAAAATCTTAACTTTCTAGCCTCACTGCCTCATATATTTTGCCATCAAATAATCGAGTCTTCTTGAGTCCAAATAAGTTGACAAATCCCTTTTGCCTTGACTTGGATTCCTAAATCTATTCTTTCGTTCCACCTTTAAATTTCTTCTATGTATAAATCTCAGGATTTTACTTTTTAGAGGAGGAATATTTCAGACTGACCATGCCCATTTTCTTAAGTTTTATCATCCTTATTTTTCTGTCGTCTACCAAAAATATTGAGAATTAGATCTCCCAAAGATTGAAGTAAAGTACTAGTATCACATTAATGAGGTTCTATGAGAGTCTATCTTTTGTATAAATAAAATTTCAAAGAGATCTTCAAAATTATGTTTTCCATTAAAAGGTGTTAACTTTGTCACTGCATCGGATTAATTATGAGGCAGCCTATCTTATTGCTTTAATTATTTCATACATTTCTCTATATGCTAGTACAAAGAATACCTATTTTAGTTTTCTCAGCAGATACCTAGAGAAATTAGAGGTAAGGTTACTCCACTGATTGTGCTGCTAGAGCTTCTTTTAGGATGATTGGAAGACATGGTTGGAAATCGAGAGGCGGAATATAGATCTGGCTGCTGCTTGGAATGAGATACACTTAATGGAGTGTCTAGAGTTAGATAAGAACTTTACCTCCTAAACAAAGAGTCATGAGACTGGAATTTGACTTTTGCGACCTTTTACTATGACTCCTAGATTTTTCTAGAAGAGTTATCATATTGTTTTACCAAAGCTGTTGTAATCAAATCTGATATTCTTAATGTTATATATTGAGCTCGTGATATTATTGACGTTAAGATATTTTTCATTATTCCTTTCAATTCTTCCTTGAAGGATTTTATCAAATAAGTTTCGTTTCATTTTCCTACAATATACCCTATTAATTACCTATGGCTTGTAACCTTATCCTTCTTCATAGAGCCAGTGCTATTATTATTAAGTGAGGAGCATCTCTTCTTTTCTAAACGTAGTTGATCCCAGCTAAACTTTCGTTCCTCAGAAATTCGTGCTCTCTGATCATATTTCATAAAACTGTACTCTCCACTTGGCTTGATCTCCTTATCTTTGGCAATTGGTTCAAGTCTCAATAGTTTCTCTTTGTGAGCTAGCTTGACGATGGCTTTTGAGATTAATTCATTTTTAAACGGAGGTTTTATTTCTTCTAGCAAAAGTAAGCATCGGCAGTGGCCAAAAGGAGGTTACTTACTGACTACGATGAGGTCTTCGCCATTAAAAATACTGTTGCTGAATTTAACATACTTTCTTTTCTTTCTCAGTTTCTTAACCAAAGAAGAATCTGACATTTATTCAATTTTATTCTATTCTCATGGGGTTTTGGGGTTTTGGGGTTTTGGGGTTTTGGGG